TATTGAACTCTTCGTTTCTTGCTGTCTTCAGATCAAGGTTGCACACATTTTGGGAAAACGGACTTTAGTGAAACACGGGTTATTATTTATTTATAGCCAAATAATTGACTTAATATACAAGTAACTGTGTGAAACATAATAGCTTGTGATATATAGGAGGCCAGATTACACCCTAAACGTATGATTTATGAGCGTTACTGGGACTGGACACGTGAGCACTTTGTCATTTATAGATGTTTACATATTGATAAGCAAAAGTCAGTAGAACAAATGAAGAACTGACTCTCCTTTTGCCATCCCTTTACAGAACCAAATGCGCTGTTATTCCCCTGCCATTTACTGTTCAGCGCTTCCTCTTTTTCATGTGCTTCAAAGATGAAAAGCCAACACCTTTAAGCCAATACCTGCTCTGGCTCCTCAAGGGAAAAGCCACTCAGGCGCACTCTTTAGCTCAGTCCCTCCTTTTGCTTTGAACAGTACCTTGTCTTTCCCTGATCTCTTATTCAGTCCTTCTTTGTTAAAAATAAACAAAAATGTGTTTACCTAACTGTAATCATGGCGAGTCTTTAACATCTTATCTGATATTAAAGACATGAAATGATTACAGTTAGGTAAATAAATTTTCATCATCTCCTTAATGTAGATTTTCCCTCTGCACGCCCCAATTTCTTCCTTGAATTTGGGTCTGGGTGTCCCTTTATTTCTGCTTCCTTCCTAAAGGAATAAAGAAGTATTTATATAGGAGCTTTGCCATATCAGGACCCTTTATTATTTCTCACTCTGTGTTTCACAGAGATCCTGTTTCATCCTTTATCTATCTTTTCCTCTTAGCCTGCTAGGGGAAAGAACTCACTTCCTTTCTACTCATCTATTGTCTGCAGATTTCCACTTTACATTTGTAGTTATTTCACTTCATCAGCAATTCCTATTGTCTTCTCCACTTCTTACAATTCTTTACAGATTTTTTCTACAAATTGAGACCTGCTGGGAAAAGATAAGCTCCAGCAGACAACACTAGATTATTCTCTAATTTTTTTAGTATTCTCCTTAATTACATTGTATTATTTATCACTTCTCACTTGCCTTTTGTCTATGTTTCCTTTTTAGTCTTGAGAAGTAGTTTCCGATTCTGGGTTTTTTTAAAGGACTGAAAACTATCCCGTCTTAGATTTACTGTCTTCTGGATGTATGTGTGAATTCTCACGGGCAGTCATAATGTTTTACAAATCCGAATACTGGGAGAATATATACCAATTACGGCCGTTAATTTGGAAATATTAATGCATTTTTCTTTCATCTCTTGTGCACTCTTACAGACGCAATTTTACACACAAAAGTTTAATACCTTTATTGTAGAAACACTTGTGTACTTTTAGGTCTATGTGTAGATTTTAATTTTGAAGAAACTGTATTTGCTGTAAGGTTAAACATGTGAAGATCCATGTGCAGATCCAGACTTCTGTCCTATTAGCCGGTAAACGCAAGAAGCACAAATCTAAATTTACAGACCATAAAACATATGAGGGCACTGAAACCACGCTTTGGTGCGGATTTATAGGGAAATGGGAATCCAGCTGACATATCTTGCAATGTTTGCAGGACAGGATGTGCCAACGTAAACCTGATTTGCAAACAGATGGAGTCTTTCACTGTAAATGTTTTCTCCTTATTATAAATGGTCTCTTTATTGAAAATGTTTTCTCTTTACCCTGTCATCTTGCAGTATTTATACCACTTGACCATCCTTTTCCTTTTTGTACATTGCTTCAGCTGAAGAAAAAAATGATTGGCAAATGATATTATTCCAGAAACACACTGCTCTTTGGAGCCTTTCCTTGTAATGAACTAGCTCCTTTTAAAACATGCAGAGAGATTTTCAGTTTTATTATATATAAGCCTATACTTTAATAGATAAATACAGAAAATTTCTTCTTACACTTCTAACTTTGTAAAAGAATCAAACTTGACTGAAAGAGCAATCCAGCACGAAAAAAATACAGAAACAAGATCATGGGACAGATGATTGCTGGCCAACCTCATAGCGAAATACAGGAAGCAAAATAGGAAAGCCCATTCACTGAAAAAGATGCTCCTGATCCCTTTCGTGCCTTCTGTTTCTGTGTGGACACAACTTTTTCCTTCAGGTATACCGTGGTAAGATTACAGAAGCATAAACGCCCTCTGAATTCCTAAATGGTTCTCAAATGGAATACTCTAATATTCTCTGGAACATTTCTCTTCTTACTGTAAAACTAAATCTTGCAGTCCCCAAGTACTCTTCACTGGGAGCAAGGTAATAAAGAAAAAAAGTGAATTACATAGGACATAGGTCTTCTCACAATTTAAATTTTCAGTTCCTTGAATCAGAGAAATAACTGCCAGCTATGCAGCCTGCAGAGAATCCTACAACTCTCTAGATTAGACAAACCTACACGGAATTCTGTTCTGATTTTCTATACAGATTTCTTAGTAATCCGTACAGTTCTCTGCATCAGACTCTCCCCTCGGAAGTGGTGAAAGCTGTAAGTACAGTTGTTGAAATTTAACATCTTATTTTTTTTAAAAAAAGAAAACTAGTCATTCATGACAATTTACGGATACAAATCTTACAAAGTGTTTGGATGGAGAAGTTTGTTTCAGACTTGTTTCCCCCAGTGTCTACAATTTAAGGTGTTCAGGGAAGGTATATTGTCTTTTTGTGCTGTTCCTAAAATAACATGGCGGTAACGGTAGGAAAAAAACAATCAGTAGCCGTATAACACATAATACCTACATCTAGATAAAGTAAATACAAGAATAGTTCTTTGCAGTCTTATCAGGGCTAAGTATTATACTGAAAATGTTTAAAAATGCAGTTTCTCGCTTTGCAAAAGTGAGTTTTGGATTACAGGAAACGAGGAGACTCAGGCCCCTCTGAACCGATCTGTCCTTTGAGCTCTAAGAGGAACTGTTAAACCCTGGATCTGCGCATCAACCTTTTTTTCCCGGTATCAACGAATGGTCAGATCGTTAATCTCAGTTAAGCAAGAAGCCAGCATGTTCCACAGAATCAAAGGCTGGACTTGGATTCAGGACAGACTTGCCTGCTGCTCCTGACTCTGCTGGTGATGTGCCGTGTGATTTATGAAGGCCGCCTTGGCTGTGCTTCTCCTACCATTTGTCCATCAATTTGATATTAGCTCTAGGGCCGCATCTGCGCCCTCCTATGGATTTACCTCTCTTGATATGCTGAGCCAATGTAGCAAACATTACTCGGGGGAAGAACACCACAAGCAAAGGATTTTCACAGAATAAAGAGCGTATTCATCTCTATTGCGTTCTTGTTATATATTTAATATGCTTTTAGAGTAAATCAACCACTTGTAGCTTCTGCACAAAAGCAAATTTTAAGTTTTAGATGTCTGCCAATAATAGAGTTTCTAAGATCGCTGTAAGGTCAGCTTAAGAAAAGAAACTAAGTACTTAAAGAGGGAAGAATTCCAAAGGAGGAAGTGGATGACTTGAGACAACTGTTAACAGAACTCAACACTAGAATAATGCTCTTTTCCAGAAGACTGCGTTTTACACCAAAGGCACCGCACAGGGCACTTTCAGCTTATGTCAGTACAGAAACGGACTAACAAAGAGTGCAACGCTTTAAGAGTGTCTACATCCTTAAATGAGACCAAATCCCACGGATTTTGAGCAAGGCTTAGATCATACCAGTATCTCCACCTGATTCTGAGATTCAACACTATAAAGGTGGGAGCATGAATAAAGGAGTTGGTTTGAGCAGAGACTGTTTAGGTCAACATCTGCGTTTGTGGGTGGAGCTAACTGAGAGATCTCTGTCCCTTGCTCAGTTTCATGGCAGAGAGATGCCCTTCACTTCTCAGCTCCATACACACTTTAGCATCAAATACATTTTAAGAATCTTCAGCAGAATTTAATTTGCTGATTAGCTCAAGCTATGCCTGAGAGCAACTATGGAAAAGATAGGATATTTTCACAGAAAACAAATGAGCAGACATAAGGGAACAAAGAAATGCCAACTATTCATTAAAGCTTTACCTGCTGTGCCTGATTTTGCAGAAAGGTGCAGAAAGAATGGAAAGGTTAAAAGGAAGGGCAACAAACATAAGTAGAATATAAGTAGCTTATTTCTTAATTACAGTTGTGAATGGAAGCCATGAAAAGTAGTGTTAAGTATGTATTATAAAACAGGAAATCACGGGTCTGATTATGTTGCCGTTCGTAAGTGTGAAAATGTGGCACAGACATCCCACAGGAAAGCTACCGCAGGAAAGGACTTAGCAGAGGGCATGAATGAAGTACTGTGCTTCAGGGAGCAATGGAATGAACCCAGCTTCTTAAGACTGTTTTTTTTCCAAAACATGGGATTATGCTTGGGAGGGGAAAATGAATTTACCGCCAGATCGACCAGAATCAAACGTGATTTAGGGGGAACGTTTCTTTTTTCCCATGTGGCTGAGCAATGATTCAAAGGGACTGAGACTAATAGAAATAACTAGAGTGCATTTAAGAAATGGTTTTGGGATAAAACTGACTAACTGACAAAATCAGTTTGGTATGGGAGACAGTTACGTATGTACAACATGATATTCTTATGTGCCAAAAATACATGTCAGAAAATCTGAGTGTTCCAGTTGTACTGATGTAAAGGATTAACTATGAGGAAGAAGGTCAGTTTGGAGTGTCATCCTTGCTCACCAGCTAAGTTGCTCCTTTGCTGCAATGAACTGTACCACAGTTATCGTTCGTTTGGGTAGCATATACTCCTTTTGACCATCAGTGCTGAAGACAGTAACTAATGATCCTGCAGAAAGAAACCTGTGTTTCTGTTCTAATCTTAAAAAGGAAAAGAAATCCCCCAATAATTTCTACTACTTTTGTCCTATTTTCTTCCCACCTTGCGCATGGCTCATGAATCAGTGCTCTCTTGCTTCCATAATGAATGTCCAGCTTAATCCTTCCTCTCTGTCCATCTCAGTTGGACACGGATGTTCGTTCGCACCCTCTTTCCGGCCCTGCGCAGGGACCACGGCTGCCGCGCTGGGGAACACGGCAGCGCGACAAGGCCCATAGCCAGCTCAAAGCTTGCGGAGGAACAGCCCAGGATCAGGACGTTATTTTATCCCCTCAGCACGCTGGAAGGCAGCGTGGTTTCGCCCGTACCTCGAAGCGGCCAAGGGCGACGAGGAAAGGGCGCTCCCACTCACCACGGTCGCAGCTCCGGCTGCCTTTCCGGGTTGCTCTTGGGGACCACAGGGCCCCCATTCCCCTCGGGTCACTGCCCGGGGGAAGAGTCCTATCGCGGAGGCCGCTTACTGCCCTTCCTCCCCGTGAACGGAGCAAACCTCCTCCAGCTCCCTGCCCTGCTGCCGGCCGAGGGGCCGGCAGAGCCCCCCGACCTCCTCGAAACGGAGGGGCCGGAGCAACACACCCCGGAGCCGCCCCGAGCCAGGGGGGCCG